TTGATCTTTTACAATTAATTTGAAAGAGAGAGTTCTAAATTCAGGGCTTCAACTTATACTTTTTTACATTTGTACTTGTCAGTAGTACAGCTGTCAACGTTCCCATTCTGCTTGTCTTTGGCTCCAGCCTGTTCACGCATATTTTCTTGAGCATATTAATTGAATCATTTTGTCTCATCAACGGCTTATACTATTTGTTAGTTATCGCGTGATCCTGGAGCAGTTGGCTTCACCCATCCGGAAAAAATTATTTCTGAAAAAGCGAGCATGAGCAAGCGACCGTTGGCGGAGCTGTCAATGGCTGCTTTTTTCGAGGATTGCATTAGAGCATACTGCATGAGCCGTACCTTCTGTGGTGCTTCAGAAAGTCAGAGGTGAATTGCTCGTGAAATTATATTAGTCGATTTTTTAGGTGCCATATGAGGAAGGGAAATACTGGGCTACAGTAAGTTATTTTGAGTTAAATACACGTGTCGGCGAGCAGTACAAAGTTTCTTCGCCAACAATAGAAATCGATGGTTTTACCGATCCGATATCGAATCCAAGCAAAATTTGTCTTGGGTTATTGTCCAATGTTAACAGAAATCAGCAGATTGAATCCACAAGAAGACGCATTGGCAAAGGTTGGCTTTCTTAGTAATTTTTTAAGTGCTTTGCTCTGAGAAATCAATTCATATTACAGTCTGCGCAAAATATCTTTGCTTTAAGGCCTAGTTCTAAGAGAACCGTTCATTTTATAGTCTATTTTTTTCTGTTATGCTTTTTTTGTTGTGTTTAAGCCATTATTTTTTTTTTTTCTTTTTACCTGACTGCTTTAAGTTTAGCCAAAAAAATGCATGATCGCACCGGCAAGCCTGGGACGATGCTACTTAGCTTATTTTTGATTTACAGGTGTGAAACTAACATATGTGCCGCATCAGGGCACTCTGTTTGCGGAATGTCAAAGCGAAAGCGCAATATTTATTCAATCACGCAACTGCAATTACTTTCATAGTTTCCATCCAACAACAGTGTGTAAAATAACAAATGGAATTTCGTTGAAAATTTTCGATTTGGCAAAGTTCCGTCAGGTTTGTGGCATTTTAAACTCGGCTTCATTCATTTTAATTCATCTATTCAAAAGTCGAAAACCCTCGTCTATTCAGAAGTCGAGACGGAATTATTTGGAAACAGTCAGCGTGGCAGCAGTGTCGGCAGCAACCATCTGCTGTCAAAGCTGCCGGCAGTTCCGTCTTGAGAGGGATGCTTAGAAGCTAATGACGGATTTAATTTCTAACATACGCCGGTAAGATGGATGGTTTTAGTCGTGGTGCCAGACCTTCAACACGAGAACTAAGTTACTTGATGCTGTCCAGCAGCCATAGGTTACATTTGTGTAAAATGCAAAGAGTACAGGGCATTTGAGCTTGGCTTATGCCTCTTTGCTTCAAATGCGTTATAAGCTTAGTTATTCCTTTTGAGAACTTAATGCTTGGAGCAGCTCTCTGTTGTTCACAGTATCTTTTCCATCCATTCATTTAACAAGCTTTCCACTTCTACAGTTTCTACTTTTTACTTCTTTGTTGTTTAATTTAACATGCCTCTTTCATTTTCCAGCTACTGGCCGAATCGACCCGTTGCTGCTCGTTCGATGCAATTTATGAATTAACGAATATGACAATAATACGGATGTCGTTTGTGAAGGGTTGGGGTGCCGAGTATCAAAGACAGGATGTTACGTCGACTCCATGCTGGATCGAAATACATCTCCATGCTCCGCTTCAGGTTTATCATTTTTTCATTCTTCCCCCAAAAGCGGGCTTGGTAACTAGCTTCAGGTTATCAGGATGCCTGGAAAATACAATTTTTATGTTTCATGCTGTAACAGTTGCAAGGGGCGCATATTATCACGCCTCTGTGTATGTATGTCTGCGTAAATTTTGTCCTCGCTTTTCAATTCTGGAACCATAGAAGCAGTGAAGCTGAAGTATTTCAAATTTATATATTTTATGGAAAAGGTTATAAAAAGACAAAAGTAAAAACAAAAATAAAAATGGAAAATGAATTGGAATATTTCGGTCCATTAAGATGCATACGTTCCCATTCAGTGCTGCAACAAGACTTCGCCAGTGTGACGGTTGCAACAGAAGTATTAGTATCATGCATTGTAGTAAATTAAATAGAAAAAATAAAAAATTTTGAAGATTGGAAATTTAAAAGACCATTATGTCCGTGGATGCGATAATAAGAATACCTAAAATTAAGAGTCGAATTTAATAGTGCCAAAAAAGTTTTTAAATCTAAACGAACAGTCGCGCTAAATTATGTTATTATTAATAAGAGCAAAGAATAATAATTGAAAACAGGGGAATAAGAGAAAGAAGACGGAAGGCTGGAGAAGTAAAATTGATTTTATAACGAATGAAAGAAGGGGGCAAAAATAAGAAGGAAGGTACATACAAAAGGCGATAGGACAAGAAAAATTTTTTTTATAAAAGATAAAAAACTAAGTGGGAAAAATTTTTTGGAAAATATTATTAGTGTTAATATAATTAGAATAAGTATTTATTAAACTGTGGTCTATATCGAAATAAAAAGGGCGAACATATTCCAAAAAGTATATTTTAGCACAACACCGATGGTAATACAAAGAAATTAAAGTATTAGTTGCATCAGTAAAACCTTGTAAAGTGGATTCCATCCTAAGAAACCGAACAAGTTGGCTGTTTATAACATTACTATGTATTTGTGGGTGAATATTGCTGCCTAAATATGAATACCTATTTACGTAAAAATTAAAACAGTCTGTCTTGTTGTAAAGTGCAGTGCAAACCACACCTGTCATATGGAAAATCAACATGTGAGAAATCAACCGTGATACCATGTCCGGTAATATTACGTTCACTGCTTATGTGTAACTCGCAAATTTGAATTCAGCTTTCGCGTATTTCTTGGTTCCACGCATATGTGAAATTTTTAGCACCGAAATTATTAACTCAGAGGAACTACGGGGCTGGGAGACTGAAATTTTAGGATATTATCTACTCACGCATGACCCCTCAATTTTATGTTCAACTTTCACGTATGCTTATGTCTCACTTACGTTTGTGTGAAATTTTTGACCCCCAGATTTTCTAAAAATTTTTGTATGATTCAAAATCGCCAACTTTTGAGCTATAAAGGAATTTTAGGAGAGTGTGGAGGCTGGGAGGATGAAATTTGAATCCTGCCTTCACGCGTGCTCATTTCTCAGTGCGAAAACATGAAAGTTTTGGCATCAAAATTATGAATTCTGGGACCGCAAAAGCTCAGAAGCTGTAATTTTAGGGGAACGTTCTTTGCTCCACTTATCCATATGTGGGATGTCCGCTATCGGGAGCGCCAATTTTTCATGTGGGAGTGCAGGTGCCTTATGCACTTCTGACATCATAATCAACTAAAGAGTCAAACGGTCTGGAACCCCATTTCTCCGCTTTCCATGTCTTATTCTCTTTTACTGCATTTCTTGCTTTTTAGTCCTGTAAAAACTATAAAAACTTACGGTGTAGTAAGTTTATGCACTTTTTATATTTGTGTTATTTTTTGAACATTTTCTA